CTGAGGTTCATTGATATCGCAGGTAGTAACAGATAATATTCATTTCAGATAGAAATATTTTGGATGTCTAGGTTCAGGAGATCAGAATAGGTTTTCTAGTGTGTTCCCGTAAAATCATGTAACTTTTTCAGATATTTTTAAAACATATATATATATATATACCCCTATCCGTCAAGTCCAAAATGTAGGTTCCCCAGAACCATACACCACCGACAAGTCCAGTATGGCCCTGAGCACACAGCCGAGTAGCCGGTAAGTAAGGTCATGAGCACACAGCCGAGGAACCTCCATGTATACTTCCTCCAACATTACCCCCAAATAAAACATGTTCCGTCCGTAAATGAACATATCAAAAATCAAAACATAATCCAGGTCAAGTATCATATCAAAATCCAGGTCAAGTATTCGATCAGAATCCAAGTCAAGTATTAGATCAGAATCCACGTCAGATATCAGATCAGAATCTATGTCAAGTATCAGATCAGTAATCAAATCGAAAATCAGTAAAATATTCATGTGAGTAGGGAACACACCAGAATTTACAGATAGTATTCAAATATATTTAATAATCTTAACAAGTAGAGGAACACAGATCTTCAGTATGTCGATAGAATGTTGGAATTTAGAATCACTATTGGAAGAGTTCATTAACTGACAGAATCATCAGTTATTCAGAATGTGAATTATCATGATCATATCTTATTCGACAGTTTTCAGAAGCTGTACGTAATCAGAAGAGTATTCAGAATCCTTTACATCCATGTCAATTGATCGGATAATCGAACAACTTGAGAACAAAGATTCAGAACCTTAACAATCTATGTCGACAGGTCAATTCATTTTCCTTATAGGGTATTTACTCTTTAATACCACAAATTCTTGTCCATAGATCATCTTCAGAATCATCGCTGAATATATATTCCAATGGTCTTTATTTCATTTCCAAGGTTCCACTATATCATGAAATACTGACGTGCTTGATTTGTAGTTCATGTTCATAAGGACGATACATCATATAAATTCATCCGAATTTCCAGGCCTAATCACTTACTTAATCCTCAATCATTGAAGTTACTTTGTTATTTAGCATTCAAGTCCATTCCAGTTACTTCGGGATTTTCCAGAGTAATACAACATTCCTGTATTTCAGATATATATTGTACTTCAGATCCATTCAATTTGGTCTTCTTGGTTGATTTGTCGAACAAACGTCCAATTCTTAATACTGAATGCGATCTAGAGTTAAGCTAAGCAGAATACTTCCAAAATTATCATCGAGCTAAACTTGAGTAGACGAACATGCATTCAAGTAATATCTATGCCGTTCAGGTAGTGACATATCATTAAAGTTGATTGGCTTACTTAAGCTGTGTTCCATAACTTTTTAAAGGTAGTTCAATACCTATGCTTATTTGGATTCCTTAATTAATCCAAGGCATTTACTTAGAATATGACACAAGGGTATTTTGGTAATTTTGGTGTTCATTTTTATTCCATTTATTTCAGAGCTCGAAGATATCCAATCATTATTGAGCTTGGTGGTATTCTTGGGTCATTTTTATTACAGGGGTATTTTGGTCATTTTACAATAGTGTATTTCAATCATTTCCTTCGTCCGATCTTACTATTAAATTCAATCTTATCATTTATTTCAATCATTTCAAACAATTCTGACAACATAACACCCCCGACAAATTATTCTTCAGGTATTTACTCATAACTCGGATATTTCCGGGTCAAGTGCCTTCTCAGATTTTACAAACGGAATATCAGGAATTTTCCTGCACTAAGTCAGGATCTTAACAATCAAATCCGTACTTAATTGAGTTAAGTACAAATCCTCAAAGTATTTTCTCATTCAGGGTCAACTCGGATTATTTTACCTTTCATGGGCATTTCTGTAATTTCTTAACCAGATGATTTCAATATTAGCTCTTAACGAAAATAATATAATTTAGAGATCCTATGATTAATTGCTGTCTTGAACACTCTCTGATCTTGAAATTGTTCTCTTAACAGACTTCTAGTATCCTTCACAAACTCTCCTAGGATTAAAACCGGTTATCCATAATTTTCAAATAAAACTATGCACATCAATATTTTTATCAAATCAATATGTCTGTAAAATCCTCTTATCTAACTTCCATATTCAAATCTTGTCTTTTTATAACATAAGAGTATTTTCGTAATTTTACCCTACCGGAGTATTCTCATAATTTCTCATCCAAGTACCTTTAACATTTAACCTTTGATGAAATAAATTATAAGTTGCAGATACATGGCTGATTTCTTTATCACTAATCACAAACTTGTAATTTAATCTAACAATTCCTCAATCTCTTATATTAGTCATTCGATCCGTAATCAGTTACAGAATTTTACCACATCATATCGAGTGTATAAATTATTCAACTCCACCAAAGTGACCAACATTATCTTGTTCATACATTTATCAAAATAACATGTTCCATAAAGCATAAAGGGGTAGTAAAGTATTACCTCGATTTCGTGCAATACTAATCGACTATAAAAATTCATTCGAACGCCTTTGATCTTCAATTCAACTTCCAATAATTCCTCAGATACATATAAACATAAATTATATAAAAAAACGGACCTTAATTATAAAATCGGATCAAATCGATGATAAATAAGTGAAAAACAGCTTACCGGTTCGAATTTGGCAAAACGGACTTCGGATTCGAATTCAGACGTCGAAAGCATAAAATATGACTTTTTAGAAATTTGGAATTTTCGGTCAAAATCAAAGTCAACGGGTTTGACTGGCAATTTCGAGGTCTTCGGGTTCGAATTTCGAAAAACAGATAGTGGAATCGGATTTGGAACGTCGAAAATGTCATGATAGGTATACTCGGTCAAAGTCAAAGGTCATTTAATGCCCGGTCAAAGCCAGTCAAAGTTTTGGTCAATAGTGGTCAACGCCGGTCAACAGTCAACAGTCAACGGGTCGGGTAGGGTTGTGACTGGTCAAACCGGTCAAAACATTTTTAAAACCGGTCAAACCGGTCACTTTTTCCTTCCCCACTCGCAGTGGGGGCGTGTGAACAGTGCTAAATTCCCGGAAAAATTCCTTAAAATTATTTTGAGCGATTTCGAGATACTTACAAAGCTCGGTTCACAATTTTGAACAGCAGAGAGCTCGATTTCAACAAATCGGAAACTTTGACCGCTTCACCTCCTCACGCGCCGCCGTCGACGGAGACCAAGGATGACACCGGCAGACTCGGAACGAACAAGTAACACGATGGTGCGGGAGTGTCGTAAACGGATGCTCGGATCGTTGTGAATCGATGAAAAACCAACTGAAATCGGGTTATTACCGACGATACTTCCGACTGAAATTAACGACGAACGGCGACGATTCATGACGAAAGGTTTGAGGGGTTTTATTCATCGGTTGACAACGAACACGATGGTGGTTTCGGCTCGTCGATCGGAGGTCGAACGACGAGTAGATCGGAGTTGAAATGAGGGTTATTGGAGAAGGGAAAACTGGAAAAATGAGAACCTGCGCACGGAGAGGGGTTTATAATTCAACTCATAATAAAAATGGGTAAACCATGAGTTTAGCCACTGAATTTCCTGCACTTTATAAAACGGTCTGCCAATTTTAAAACCTTATAATTTAACCCACTGTTTTTTTAAAAAATACCAATTAAATTCACCACTTTATAATTTCTTAATTTTAGCCCCTAAATTTGGGTGTTACATACTTGGTTTAAATTGTTAATTTATCACATATTTTATCATTCAAAATGATAGAGTGTCATAAATGCAAAAAAAAAAAAAAATGATAATGTGGCCATATGTTATGTCATTCAAATTAATAACATATATATGTCATATCATTCAAAGTAATATGATATATGATGCATCATCTAAAATAATGACGTGATATGTGTAATATCATCAAGGTAATAATATAATATGTATCATATCGTTTAGAGTATAAAAGAGTTGAGTTTGAGCATTGTTGAATTTGATTAGACTAAAAAAGTTTAAAATTGAGTTTGGTGAAAGCCCATAAGCTTAAAATTTTCAAATTCAACTCAAATCAAAATAAAAAATTAAAACTTTTACATGAACTTGAAATAAAAAATTTGAACTCAAAACATTCCAGACGCAACTCAATTAAAGATTGAATTTGAACTTTAAGTAAATAAAAATCTTATAATACATTTTTCTAAAGTAACTTAAGTAGTTTGTTTTAGCTCGTTTAAAATTCACAAGTTTAAGCAAACTCTGATCGAGTCAAACTCGAATAGTTCATGATCTATCTTGTTTTCTTTACAACCTTACATGCCACTCGCGATAATAACATGTTATATATCATATTATCAACTAAACATATAAAAATATCATATTAACAACATATATTAACCATTAATCAATTAATAATTTTCATCTCATTTAAATCAAAAGTTAATGTATATTAAAATTAAATACACCAAAGAAAAAAAACAAAAGTTAAAATAATTATTGGCATAAAATTGAGGCCAATTTTATCATTATATCTTTTTGGGTAAACTACATATTTAGTATCTAAATTATTAATTTTGGTTTATTTTAGTAGCTAAACCTTTAATCTTTTCAAAAGCATACCTAATTTTTAGTCTTGTTTCATTTTAGTACCCTCCGTTAAAAACTTGACATGTTTAATACCTAAAACTATCAGTTTTGGACCGTTTAATACCTAAACTATCATTTTTTAAATCATACTTAATGTTTGGTTTTTGTTTCATTTAGTACATCTTTGTTATAAACTTAACGTGTTTAGTACTTAAACTATCAGTTTTGATCCATTTTAGCACCTAAACTTTCAAAAAAAAATCAAAATTTAATGTTAAATTTTGAACGGGTACTAAAATGAAACAGAAACTAAACTTTAGGTATGATTTTGAAAAAATAGATCAAAACTAATAATTTAGGTACTAAACGTGTAGTTTACCCTATTATTTTTAATGTGAAATGTACGTTTGATGGAGAAAGAAAGGAAGAAAGAGAGGGAGTTTGTCTTTGAGTTTAGAAGCTTGATGTTTGAAAACAAGAAGATCCCACATTACTTGTGGATTGAGAGAGTGTCGGTGTGTTTAAATTTTGTAACTTAATCTCTCCCCTGCTTTATAAAACCCTCTTCTCTGATCTCAGTTCCTCAGAATTTCCCTCATTCAGTAGCAACAAAAACAAAAGGGTTTAATGGCAATCCCTTTCTCCCTCTTTCTACTCCTCTTCCCTCTCATGGCTCCCACCTTCGTTTTCTCCTCACCAGTTCAAGGCCCCGATCAAGTTGTGCAACAAGTCAATGAGTACGTTTTAATTTGTTTCATCAATGGCCACTCCATTTTTTTTCATTTTTCTGGTTTAATTTTCTATACTGCAGGAGCATAACAAATGCTACCATGGCGAAGAGGAGGAGCTCGGGGTTTCTCTCCTGTGGAACCGGCAATCCGATCGACGATTGCTGGCGGTGCGATCCTCACTGGGAAAAGAACCGTCGTAGGCTAGCCGATTGCGCCATAGGGTTCGGCAAGCACGCCACTGGTGGGAGGGACGGGAAAATATACGTGGTGACGGACTCCAGTGATCACGACCCCGTTAACCCTAAACCAGGAACCCTAAGACATGCCGTCATTCAAGATGAACCGTTATGGATCATTTTCGCCCGTGACATGAAGATCAAATTGAAGGAGGAATTGCTTATGAACTCGTTCAAGACCATCGACGGTCGAGGCGCCGACGTCCACATTGCCGGCGGGCCCTGCATTACTGTTCAGTACGTGACCAACATCATCATCCACGGGATCAACATTCATGATTGCAAGAGAGGAGGGAATGCTTATGTTAGGGACTCTCCTAGTCATTATGGTTGGAGGACGATATCGGACGGCGACGGGGTGTCGATATTCGGAGGTAGCCATGTTTGGGTGGACCATTGCTCGTTGTCGAATTGCAATGACGGGATGATTGACGCCATTCACGGCTCCACCGCCATCACCATTTCGAATAACTACTTGACACATCATAACAAGGTCATGCTATTGGGACATAGTGACACTTATAAACGAGATAAGAACATGCAAGTCACCATTGCCTTTAATCACTTCGGAGAAGGACTTGTACAAAGAATGCCAAGGTAAAAAAAAACAATTACTCAGAGTCAAAAAATACCCACAATCCAGTAATTGTTTTAACATTTTACGTTGTGGATGCAGATGTAGGCATGGGTATTTCCACGTGGTGAACAATGATTATACACATTGGGAAATGTATGCAATCGGAGGCAGTGCCGATCCTACAATCAACAGCCAAGGCAATAGATTCCTTGCACCAAATGATGCAGACAACAAAGAGGTCAAAACAATTAAGTCATTGATTTGTTCCAATAGGCAAAAGGGTAAGCTTTTAAACTAACATATACATACACTATACGTGCTACAAAATTCAGGTGACAAAACATGAGGATGCGCCACAAAGCCAATGGAAGCATTGGAATTGGAGATCGGAAGGGGATTTGATGTTGAACGGAGCGTTCTTCACCGCATCCGGAACCGGAGCATCGTCGAGTTACGCCAAGGCGTCGAGCTTGGGTGCGAGACCGTCGTCGGTGGTGAGCACGCTCACTGCAGGGGCTGGTGCACTTGTTTGCAAGAAGGGCTCGCGTTGCTAGTGATATTATTAGTATACAATGTTTAATGAATTATATCAGCCTGTTTCTGTGAAAGCCCCAACTAGCTACCAGAAAACAAGGGCTGAAAACACGTATTGTAAGTTCAGTTGAATCAACGGAATCAAGCTTTTCTTAGTCCTCTATGAATGAACGAGGCTGTGTCAATCAAGTTTCTACCGACACCAATCGGCGTCTTCTATTAAAGCACATGTGATCTGACAATTGCAGTCGCCATAAATGACACCATCCCACCCATAAATGATATAGAAAGAAAATAAATAATATTATTGCTGAAAAATATCTTATAAAGAATTATGACAGATGATATTCAAATAACATTATTTTCAAAATCATCTTTAGTATATTTTAAAAGGACCGTGTAAAGTTTAAATGAGAAAAATATAAAAATAATAGATAAAAAAATTATATAAGTTTTATTAAAAAACAACATGCAGGGCGTTAAGATTAGCAAATAAGCTATCGAAAGAACAGAAGGAAAATCAAAGAAGGGAAACAAGAATACTTTCTGAGACATTTTCATTTATTCTATTCTGATTATAATGATGAAGTAAGCAGCTATTTATACAAATAAGTAATGTGAAAACAAAAACTTCAACAAACTAACCACTCGTAACTAACTGCTCATAATATGCATGCATGACGTATGACGTCATACACTAACATTCTCCATATATCCCAAGTCTTTAACACTTTCAACATTCTCCCCATTTCTCAGCCCTGCTGAAAAACCATCACCTCGTGAGCTACAGTGTGCAACTAACAGCTTCTGTCCGTGTCTATGAAACATCGGAGAAGATAAGGGTTGAGTAAAAACATTAGCAACCTGCTCGTATGCTGGAGCTTCATGAACTTGCAACTGACCGGTTGTCACTATTTTCCGAACAAAAATAAATCAAACTCAACATACTTGAATTGAGAGTGAAGAACTGGATTAGCACACACAACCACCGCACTTGTGTTGTCACACCACGAGGTAGATTTGCTATAAGGAACCACATACAACTCCTTAAGCAACGACTCAAGGCATACTAGTTCTAAAGCAGTTGAAGCCACACCCCTCTATTCAGCTTCAATAGTGGACCTAGCAACAACTTGTTGCTTACGCGAGCTGCAAGAAACCAGGTTCCCTCCAAAATAGATGCAAAACCCTAAAGTCAACGCCTATCATCAACATCTAAACTCTAATTTGTATCGACAAAACCAAAGAAAGACAACCTTGAAGCAGGAGTAAATCTCAACCCATAATCAGAAGTACCCTGTAAGTATCTCAAATTACGTTTAAATGCTTGAAAATGAACATCTCGTGGTGCTTGCATGAACTGACATACTCGATTTACGACAAACGTAATATCTGACCGAGTGATTACAACATATTGTAGTCAGGGTCGACCTGAGCTCAGGCGCGGAGTGCGACCGCTTAGGGCCCAGATTTGGAGGGTGGCCCTGATGGGTCGCGATCCACGTTCAATCTGGATTTTGTTTTCTTCTTGCTTCACTCCTGTCATGAAGAAATGTTAAAAGAAAAGAAGAAAGGCCACCTATTTAGGTTTCTAGATTTGTTTTAGTATTTTGGTTCCAGATGTATACCACATTAATGAGGAGAAATGATTTTAATAATCTAGTAATGGAATAAAGTTGGCATTTCATGTTAAAAAATAAGTTAAAAACAAGTCAAATATGATGGGATTTAAAATAATACTAAAATATGAGATAATTTAGGTGAAAGTAAAATCCAAATCTATGTGCATAAGAGTTATGAACCCAAAACTTCAGCCTTTGCCAATATTTGTTGGGCTTTATTGATGGATCAAAGTGCATAGAATGAAATGCAGTAGAAGTGGCAATAAAATTAATTTTTTAATGTTTTTATAAAAATTTAAATTATTTTGTTTTTAAAATATTTTTTCAATTTTTTCAATTTTTTATTTGGGATTAACTAAGTTATTATTCAAAAAATTGATCATTATTTTAATCAAAATTACATAGAATTAACTCATAATTTAACTCAATTAGTTTATATAACCTCTTACGTATTAGTTACTAATAATTAATTAGTCTAATGAGATAAATTACTATTTTTTTGTATAAGATAAAGTTTAAATTTTAACATCATAAATGAAACAAATTAGATTACAAATAATTTTTCTTATTATAAAACTATGTAATACCACTATCTTAATTTAATGAAGACATATTCAAAATATTGCCACATTGCACTAACGGGGTGGTTCAAGTGATAAGTAGCTTGATATCTCTTAAGCGGATCTTGAGTTCGAGTGTAACACCCCCAACCCGTACCCGACTCGGATACGAATCCGAGGTGTCACATTGACCAGTCAAAGCATATACTTTTATAAAAACCATAGAAAATTTAAAACTTCTATTCTATAAAGTAATTCATTTACATAAACATGTTTAAAACCATAACAGACTCCACCAGAGCGTACATATATAATGACTTAGTTACATGCCAACATACTAAATTATATGACAAGATATACTTTACAAAATATTTCTGATCTGAACTTTGCTCGGAGATATGTTGCTTACAGATCCGAAGCTTGGTCTTCTGACTTATCCACACCTACGTGTAAGACACTTACACGCTAAGTCATAGACTTAGTGAGACATGTAAATGCACAATGCAAACTAATAAATGCATACATATATCATATAATACACATCATAATTACATACCTATTAAACCAATCATTAATATATTTTCTTGTCATTAAATCTATTCCATCATATGAGCATATATTTGACATAAACGTATAATATAACTCCAAAACACAATAATACATGAATAAATACGAATGTCATATCATACATAATTACATATCATCTCTTATCACAAAACACATATGCACTCATTATCATTATCTTCTTTTCTATTATCATATGATTCTGAGCTTATCATTTATACCTGTCATATAGCACCAATATCATTTCACAAAGAACACATACATTATCATAACACATATTTATTATCTTTAAAGCTCATGCACTCTTTTGAGAACTTAAGGTATGTGAGTACATAGAGGTTATGCACAATGTTTCACTACAACTCGTATAAATCCCACTAGGGGCGCGTAGAATTTGTCCCGTAGGATCACTATGTCCCGAAGGACCATTGTGTCCCGAAGGACCACTGTGTCCCGAAGACCACTGTGTCCCGAAGGACCACTGTGTCCGAAGGACCACTGTGTCCCGAAGGACCACTCCTTAAGAACCATATACATAATACAATGGACCAAATAAGTGTACCGAAGTACCACATATACGTTCCACAGAATTACATATATGTCCCGAAGGACCACGTAGAACCCTCGACTCTTGGCATGCCAACTATACCTATAACTCTCATAACACATGACATGGGCATTTCTTTTTATATCTTTTCACATATTTACGTAGGCATATAGTTCACTTTCACATAACATATTTCCATGTAATTCACATTCACTTATCACATAGCTTTTCACTTTTACTTGTATTCCTTTTCACATAGTTCATAGTCATGATTCTTATCTCATAAAACATGTTCTCATATACATGTTCTCATACAATCCCTTCATTCAATTATAACATTTAATCTAGCTTATTATACTAACATGTATTCATATCATTCATTTAACATACATAACATATCATATAACATTATAAAAGAAACAAATATGAGTCAATTACTTTCACATATATTTTATCATGTATCTCATGATCACATGACCTATTATCATAAATACATGCATTTACATAGTTCACACATAAAGATACATTCAACAATTAGACATATGCAATTACTCGTATACCATACATCTAACAGCATGTCACTACATGTTTATGCTTGAGTACTTATATCATATAATATCGGAATTAGACTCATCGCAAGTCTTAATTCCTTAACATAACGTACACTTACCATCATGTACTCACCTGGTCTCAATGAACACTCTTAAGCTCTTGTTTTCTTTGCATATCTTACTCTGCCGACCTATCTGAACTTTGCTTTTGATCGATGTCTACACAATCATATATTTATACTATCAGTATTCCATTGATATACTATAATCTATAATTTCTTAGACTAAAAGAAAGATTTATTTCATTTCCCATTGAAGTGCGTCGGTACATTCTACAGTGCATCGATGCATTCTTTAACATGTGCATCGATGCACTATCCATGCATCTGTACACAAATCACCTTCGATGTTTTAATCTTAAGGGGGTGCATCGATGCACTCCTTATGCATCGTGCACTAATTGCATTCGATGTTCATTTATTTGAGAGTGCATCGATACACATTGAAGATGCATCGATGCACACAACCCAGAATTTCCATTTTAAGCACGAAATTCACTCTCTTTTCATCTCAACTCTTCATCTTTCACCTCCTTTAATATTCCTAACTTTCATACACACACTTAAACTCATTTCTACTCAATAATCACTTATTTAAACTCAACATCATATCCTTTATATGGCATTCAAGAATCATACTCAATTTTCAACATTTTCTAAATCTAATTCTAACACTTCATATTCCTTAATCAAGTTGGTGACAAGTCAAATTCAACTTCCAATTTCATTTAAACCCTCTTATTCTAATTTTCACTTGATCACCCCTTATATTAAATCTTCCATAACTTCTTTATCTTTAGTTTTCTATCTCCTTTTAAGTTCTCTTGATCTTTATTAATGCTCCATCAATTAAAACCATCTTTTAATTACAAGAAAATCAATTGAAAATCAAACTCACCTTAGCCATGAAGAGCTCACGTTGAGAGGAAGAAGAAACTGAAGAAGACTCTGGAGAAATTATCTCATTCCCACGTGCTTATTATCCTTTATAAAGAGAAATAAAAATCTTCCCTGTCAAATGACCATAATACCCTTATTACTTTTAAACTTTGATATTAAATCCATCATCAAAACTTTTCATTTATGTCCTGAACTTTCCATCTTTTCTGAAATTGGTC